TCGTTCGATTCGATCGAACCTGGCAATTCAACCTGCCCTGGCGATGATGTACAATTTTTTGCGCACGGCAAAAAAATTGAATTATATAATAAACAGACCTCGTACTTTGGCATGATTGACGCATGCACGGGAGAACGCGATAATTAGCAATCCCGGAATCTCGATCTATCGATCTTTGAGATCCAATATGTTACGCCACCGAGGATAACCAGTACTAGAAAAAGGATCGATCGATTAGCGTTCGGCGCGAGGAGTAAAAAAGAAAACATGTCCGATATGAAGAGAAACGTCCGTCATAAAATGCAGTCATTAAATAGCCTGATCACCTGATCGTTATTTATCGATCATTAGCCGATTAACAATTTTCCTTTTCGTATCTTTCTCTCTCTCTCTCTCTCTCTCTCTCTCTCTCTCTCTCCCCCTCTTTTTCTCTCTCTTTTCTTCGCCACTTCTCCTATTTTATTCCATCCACGTCGGATGTCACTCCCGTCACGAATTTGACGACAGATCCGAAGTCGACTGATGTAAAGTTGATGGACTTTGATGGAATCGTATTAACCGATTAACAATCGGTCCGATCAGATGATTAGCAAAATTATACGCATAAAGATATCTCCTTCGTGTATCGCTCCCTGTTTATCCTTCTCACCGTTTTTGCCTATTTTTTTTCTCTTGTAATTTGCATGTCTTTCGCATGCTCTAATTTTTTGCATGTCTTTCGCATTCCACCGACATCGAACGTCACTTCGATCATAAATTTTACGACAGATTTAGGGTCATCATATTATTAAATTAAATTAAAGCCAAGCTTTGTGGGATGTTGTTTACGGCGCGAATTCTCGCACATCGAAATTAAAGAGCCGCTGAGATACGAGTCCTGTTGTAGGCGCGAATCCAGAAAGAATATTATGAAAATAAACAGTTGCCGCGACTCGCGCGGCCGAAGAGGCGATAAAACATGCGACAACGTGACATTCTCTCAGTATCAATGTTCAATCGTGACGTTCTCCTTCGAGCAGCCACGCAGGAGATTGAGATCAGTATAATTTTCAGACGGCAGACATGGAAAGTACGTACGTCTGCGCGACTAAATTATCAACGACAATGGAAACGTGACAATTTATGCGCTCTCTGCGCCTCCATATTTACAGTCGCTCTGCGAATCGAAAAAACTCCGCGGAAAGTCAAATCTTCGCGGCCGCGAAAGCCGCGAGTCGCGTAAATCCTGACGCTTCGCGTGATTTACCGTCGCCTTCGACACGATTAACCGAAGTTGCTCCACGCTTACAGCATCGCGGTCATCGTTTCGCAAATCGGAAACTCGGCGGAAAATGGAATTTTCTCCCCGGAGGGGCACGTAAGTCGCGCAATCTCCGACGCTTTACATAATTAAACGCCGTCGTTCGCACAATCGACCGACGTTATATCCCGCATCTACAGCACCGTGTGCCGTGTTTTCGGCGGGACGGAAATCCCGCAGAAAATCAAATTTTCTCCCCGAAAACTCGAGTCGAGTCAAGCAACCTCTCTGGCCCTCCCCCATGCTTTACACGACTCTGATGATCGCCGTCTTTCGCACGTTTAACCGACGCTGTTCCATGCTCGCCGTCGCCGCGGTGAATTGTCTCGCGAACCGGAAACTTCGCGGAAAATAGGATCCTCCCCCCGCGCCGCCCAGAAACGGCCGATCGCATCACTCCGACTCTTTGTACGATTAACCGGCCGAATCCTTCACGCGCAATTAAGTCGGCCCCGATTGAATAATTCCCCCCCAGGCTACGAAACGAATTACTCGACGAGCAGCGAATCGCCATTCGGCGGCCTCGGCGCGACGAACTCTTTCTATGCCAGAATGCTGGGTGCTTTTCTCCATGCTCGCCAGCAGCCGGCGAGATTACCGGAACTCCCGATGAGTCCGATTCGCGCGAGAGTAAGACGACGTCTCGCATCGGTCGCGAGTTCGCAGCGAAAGCTCCTTTCCGGAAGCGGTCGCGCGGGTTAATAAACCGCGGGCGATATTATGACGTCGGGCGTCATATTTTACTTCACGTGGCCCCGATCGGGCCCGTCCGGCGACGGAACTTTCGGGTTCGTGTCGCAAAAGTACCGCGCGGCACCCGGAACGCGCATATCCGCCCGGGGCGCCCGGGGTGGCAGCCCCTTCAGGGCGCCGCACAGTGGGGCCAGATGACATTTATTGGTTCAAAATTCTCTACACTAGGAAAAAAATTTAGTATCTCTAACAAAACTGTTTAGTTGAGGCATTTTTTAATACCAACCAAATATCTTGTTTTATATAACGAAATATTTAGTTGTCTCGACTAAATATATTTTTCTGCTTTGTTCCTGCTATGTGGTCTGCTATGTTCTGCTTTGTCTGGACCAAATGATCTTGTTCTTCATATATAAAAGTTAAGCATTTTAATTATTTTATCCGTAAAAATTATATAATAACGAAATATTATTTTACATAAAGTAAAATAAGGCCCAATGGATACTATTTTGTCTTTCTGTGCACTAAAATTTAGATTTTATATATTAAGAAAAAATTATAGTATAACAAAATTCATATAGTTAAAGCTTTTTGGTTGTTATAACAAAAGTATTACGTTATACGAACAAACCGTAATCAAACGAGATATTTGTTTACAGGAACTAAACAGTTTTGTTGGGCATATTTTAACCAAATTATTTTGTTACAACAAAATTTTGGTTCACGCAACAATACATTTTTTCTAGTATAGAGACCTGAATTTCCAACCGATCATCGACACCAATCGATGAGATTGATCTTGAATAAATTCCAAAAAGATCTGTCTAGCCGAAATTTCGAAAAAATTATCGGCTCAGGGTTCATGGGTTTAGGGTTTGTCTTAAAAGTTTATCGTTTAAAGTACAGTGTCTTGGGTTCGACCTCAATGGGTTCGAGCCTATGAATATTAAAATGCGAGACCCCAGAACTTATAATCACCTTTTGGAAATCACCTCAGAATTTCAAAGCTCATCATTTCAGCCCACATTAAGAAATAATGAAGGATTAAAATCCCTCGATTTTGTGCTTAACGGGTCTATATTTGATGTTTTTGTATTTTGGGCATATGAGTTTTGGGTTAATGGGTTTCTGCTTCAAGATCGATAAATCTCGAGGTGTCTGTTGATTGGTTTCATAGTTTCAATCCGCTGAATACGCTATTAGATAGAAATAAATGTCGAATAATGAGTATTTCACAAGTATTTCTCGCGTTTGACGCGATAATTTTTTTTCTTTTGGGGCTGGTAATTTGAGAAAAAAATTTCTTTTCAATTTTGGCAAGACAGATCTCTTCGGAATTTATTCAGGCTCAACCTCATCCATTGTTGTCGATGATCGGTTGGAAATTCAGGTCTCCAGAGAATTTTCAATCAAAGAATGTCATCTGGCTCCACTGTGCGCCGCGGCGGCGGAGGTGTCGACGGCGACGCCGGTCCGCCGCGCCGGCGAGGGCCGACGCTGAATAGACCGCAATGATTCAGTGCGGTCGAGCGCGAGCGCGATGACACATCCATTGAATCGAATTAAGAGCAACGGAGCTACAAGCGAGCCGTGACATTAGCCGCGATGATCGAGTTAATCGCGCAGCCTGCCGGGCCCGAAGAAGCGCACCACGTCACGGTGCGTCCGGTGCGCCTCGCGAGACCGAGACGAGGTCGGCGGAGTGGTCGGGACGCTGCGCGATTGTCGCAAAGATGCACCGTCGGGATCCAGCTGACAGGATCGAGGACGAGTCGACGGTGCCACGAGCGAGCCGGCGGTGATGCATTACGTAAACGCCGACGCGGTTCGATTCAGCTTTTCGAGCGTGACGAACTTTACCGTACCTTAGTAGATTCGAAGCGATTTTAACGTTGTATAAGATGAGCGATAATTAAGCTTGCATAACGGCGCCTACATGGGGAGCGAGAGAGGGGCCTCTCTCCGGGGAAAATAGAGACGAGGGAGCCTTTTCGCCCGCGAATCGGCGCTTTCCATTAGCCTAGATAGAAAATCGCAAGGTGGAAGTAACGCCGCGTAGGTAATCCAAAAATGGTAATTTACCATTCGCTTTGGAATTTTATGTCTGCCCCCCGCTCTCCGCCCCTTCGGCTTCAAGTGCTACGTCGAAGTGGTTATATTGGAACGTTAACTTTACTCATGTTTACGAGTGCGAAACGTAACTGAGTAGATTTTTGATAAGTGTAATAAGTTCAGCTCTACCGCGTGTCATGCGAGCGAAAGCATCTCAGCGGTTACTGTAAACAGCGGTTCCTTAATTATTTTTTATCATTTTTACATCGTACTTACGACGGAGACGTAAACGAAGACGGAAACGAGAGAATGCGTGCGAATGCGACGTTAGTCGACCGATTATTTCAGTCAGTTCGACCAATCAACGTGACGAGGGAGTCGGCTTCTGCTTGAAATTCCGAGTGGACCTTCCGCGACATACAAGTCGCGTTTTGTTCTCCTCACCGCGTATATGAAAGTTATCGAGGGGAATATAATCGGGTCGTAGATCCTCCGAGGTTACCTGCGGCTTTGCCTGGCCGTCTTCTCGCGACGATTTCACAATCGTCGTCCGCACGCGCCTCGTCCTCGTGCCGCTCGTCCGGTCGAGCAGCAACATCGGCGATCAACGGGAACATCGCGGCGATTTAACCGCGAAACACGCAACCTCGATACGCGCGCACAATATCGCGAATACCGCTTCCGGCTGTAAACGCACGGCGAGCGCGTATGACGCTGCGATATTCACGCGAGAGACGCTTGACTTTCGCGATCGAGTCGAGCCGATCATGACGATTACGTTACGATCGTATTATGTTACGAGGGCGAGCGCAATTCACGCGAATGAGCACAAGTGTACGAATGCACCGGAGAGTACAGCGCTCTCGCCAAACTCCTGTTGCTCCTCGGCAGCAACGGAGTCCTGGATTCAGAAACATTCCCAAAACGGGATCTCGAGGGAAGAGTGAGTACTTACACCATCGTCTGAGGAAGCCGCCCTGCAGTTTCGCGCAGATCCCGCGATGCACCCTCATGCTGAACGAACCTTCACTGCGCCTTCACCCCGAAATCACGAAAGCACACCGGCGATACGCCAAAATCGTTCCAAGTGCGAACTCGAAGCTCGTTTCCTCTTGCTTCTCCTTTCTTCTCTCTCTCCCTCTCTCTCTCTCTCTCTCTCTCTCTCTCTCTCTCTCTCTCTTTCAGGTGTCCTTCCTTCCTTCAGAATCCACCCGTAGATAAAGTACACAAAAAACACCTCTTTCCCGAAGTCGTCGAGCTTTGGCGTCTTCGTCGTCCTTGTCTTACCGATGCCGCCGTAGTCTTCCAGCGTCACGTGTTGCCTTCTTGGCGTTCTCTTGGTCGTTTTCTCGCGACGACGGCTTGGAAGAGGCTGTCGAACAGTTGGAAGAACAGCTGGAGAAAGTCAATCCTCCTTTCAGAGTGCGCTAAGTGTGCCGGAGCGCGCGGTGCCGCCGTGCGCGTTTATTATACCGTTGATCCTGGTCCAGAAGACGCGCTTTTACTTCTCCTCTTTTACACGTCGTCGTCGTCGTCGTCGTGATCGTGGTCGTGGTCGTCGTCGTCGTCGTCGTCGTTACCGTCGTCGCTGTGCGTTTCACGGAAAACGTCGGATGCTCTCTGAAGCAGAGGCAGCGCGATCACCGCATACCCTTCTCTCGGCGGGACCAGCTGATACCGCGGAGGATGTCCACCACGTCCCCGATCAACCGGTCGGTCGATCGATCGATCGTTCACAGCGGTACCAGCGTCCACGATCGAGCGATCCTCGTTGGCCCTCGAGTCCGTCCGCACGCGACGAATGCACGCGAGTGCACACGACTACCTCTTCGACTGCTGCGTGGTCGGCTGTCGGTGGTTGCGACAGTGATCGTGGGAACGACCGGCGCTGATGATGATGTACTTGGGCGAGGAAGAGGCATACGATCAGGAGGAGGGAGCGACGTAGGGATATGGATAGAAGAAGCGAAAGAGATACATGGAGACGGATGGAGAAAAAGGGAGGGAAGGGGGAGAGGGGGAGAGAGAGAGAGAGAGAGAGAGAGAGAGAGAAATATATATATATATATGTATATAGAAAAAGGAGAGAGAGAGAGAAAGACAAGACTGAATCGGGAAGAGGAGTGTCGAGAAGTCGTGAATGGAAGTAGGGAGCAGAAGGAAGAAAAGAGAGACAGAGAGAAAGAGAGAGAGAGAGAGAGAGAGAGAGAGAGAGAGAGAGGAGAGAGAGAGAGAGAGAGGAGAGGAGAGGAGAGATAACCGAAGCGAAATCAAACGGCGGAACTGACGTGTGCGTTTGACGTACGTGTAGGTAGCGGTGTGTACGTGTTCGCGCGCGCGAAGTCGTGTGGTTAAGGATGGGCGAGCGTGGTGCGATCGGTGCGAGATCGGCCGAGACACTGCGAGCGCGCCGAAGAGCGTCGCGTCGTTCAGGTGAACGATTTATTATTGCCCCCACTTGCCGCTCCACTTTGCCCCCTTCGGTGACTATCAGCGGCTACTACTACTGCTGCTGCTGCTGCTGTTGCTACTATCGCTGAATGCTGGCGCGTCGCTGCTGCTCCATTCGGCATTCGCGCTCCTTTCGCGTTGTATAGCTTGCGCAGGAGCGCGCATTATCTTGTCGGAATTTCTTCCACATCACGAGAAATTTTATCCCAACACTACGTCTTCTTTTTCTTCCCTTTTCCAATTTTTTTTCTTTTTATTAAGAGCTCTCGCGCACACGTGTCGGTGCGCGGTGCGGGCAAGAGATGCATGTGGCTCGGCAGAATCCGCGAATTGAAAGTCCTGCAAAAAATTCCAGGACTCAAAACACGAGCATGTGACTGCGGAAAGTGACGGACGTTCGATCGCGTGATTCTATGATCACGAGCCTGAATCCTTGCTGCTTCATTTTCCGACCATAGCTCCGCGAGCCTAGGCACGTCCCTGCACGTGAAGCGAGTCTTTCTCTCTCTCTTGCTCCTTCTTCCAGCCAGGTAACGCAGGTGCGGACGCCTGCGCCTGCGCTGCTACCACCACCAGCACCTGAGAGCGCACTCCACGTCTCGTCTCCTCTCGCTTTCTCCAGCGCCTTGTCGTCCTTGTTCGCCAGGTCGTCCTTCCCTCGGGTCCTTTGCTTCCGCGCGCGATTCCTCGTCATCCGGCAATCCGTCTCCTCGCGGCCGGCCAGCTCGCTCTGCGCGACGGTTTTGGAAAATAATAATAATAATCCTTGTGCCGCATAGGTGGAGTTCGGTGACTGTCCTGGAACGCTACGCGCTTCCCACGAGTTCCTCATGGCGTTCCGCTCATTCATCCTGCGACACGAAGAACGCGCGCGGCGGTCTCGTCCTCCGCGGATTCTCGCTTCGCTTCGTTTTCGCAGACGACTTTCGGTCTGCCGGAGTTTCCGTTTTACCGAAAACTAATGCTAATGGCTAACCTCGATTTACGTACCTCATTTCCTTCTTCTTTTTCTTTTTTTTTTAATTAGTCTCTCAAGGTGACCATACCTTGCGGGGATAATAAATCTTAAGATTAATCGTCAAAGTATGTATCAAGATATTTCTTATCGAGAGAGAGTGAATCCTCCGACACTTGGCCAACTAACCAGCGACTGTCGGCTTTTACAAAGAGAGAGCAACTCCATTAGCAGAACTGAATTATCTATTGGCCGGGGACCACGATGATAAAAATTTAATTGGAAAAGCGGAAGGAGCTCTGCAAGAGGCCTTTAGTCGGCCAGCCGTTCTCGGTTATCTTGACCGGGTTTTAATACAGCTGAATATCCAAACAAATGTTTTCGGCTGCAATAAGAGAAATATTCCTCTCTTGGGTATTGATAAATTAAAAAATTGTTTGGCCAAAATAACCGGCAAATTAATAATCAAAATTGATCAAAATACGCTAAATAACTGTGCATAATTTAGTCGACTGATGATGTTAATTATTTATTAGTGTATATAATCCGTTTCAATTTCGGGTTATTCTTCTTTCCGAAGAAATGAACTGGAATGTTCATGAAAGGTCGGAAACGAATCCAAGATAAACGCGGCACCAACGCGGCGTAGAAATTAAATCAAACATTTCTCTATATTATATCGAAGAAATCTAAAACATCAGTATATGATCAATCAAATCAAAATAATTAATTGGAACAATTGAAATTATTTACTCCACCCTAATTTTAATTGTTTGTTGTCAATCGGTTCAAATTTTCCAATCAATTAATGCCCAACATTGATTTTTTCTTTTTAACCAAGCTCCTGCTCTCCGCTCAGTTATGCGAATTAAAATTTTTTTTCTTCGATTTAACTCATTACTCAATTAATTTAGTTGATCTAATTACAATTATTATATGGAAATCTTTGCCGATAAAAAGAGTCTCAATCGTGATATTATAGAAGATATTTAAAGTGATATACGCGAAACGTACAATTTCGCCGGTGTACCTCAATTGTAACGTCATACGAATATTTTCAGTCACAAAATTATCATTTCCTGCCAGCGCCAATTCTCTCAGTTGTTCTGAGATTCCTTGTCGCGTGCAAATCAAGGATTCACGTACAATGCTGACAAGACCACAAACAAACTCTCGGAACCCGCCGCGCCGGTGGGGGAGGGGGGCGGGGGGGTTTGGATTTTTCTGCGGCAAGTATTTTCCGCGGCGATCAGAGGTGTCAGTGTCACGTGACCTGATACGACCAAGATGGAACAGAAACGACTTGGCATCTTGCAAACCAACGCACACGGCACGGGATCTACCCATGCCGTTCGAAACTAGTCCCAGTTTACGGCGGCGCGTGCACAAAGTCGCGCGCTCAGACATAGTTTTTCGCGCATCACGGACTTTCACCCGGTCGCGACCAGCCAGTCGGTTACCCACGCATCGAAATCACTGAAAGACGTTGAATTTCCGGCCGCCGAGATTCCCAGGGATTATCATTAGCACGCCGCGGCGGCCGCGGTCTGACCGAAATGGACGGAGCCCGCGTAGACTCCGATAAACGACGGAGAGAGGGGTAGCGGGAGGGGTAACCGGACTTTACAGTTAGCGAACTCTCGAAAGAGGAGGTCCGCCGCCAAAATTAACCCGATTCCTCTGCCTAGCACATCGACGCGATCGACGCAATCGCCTCTTACCTAGGAACGTGGCCGGCCGGCTCGATCGAGGACATAAATGTGGGTCAGCTCGGAAAACCACGCGAGTTTTTACGGCGCTTCCCTCCTTCCCTCCGCCCTGCCTCCGCCCTCCGATGCTGCTCCGCTCGCGAAGCTCCGCCGCATTATCGCATCTAGAGCTCCCACTGTGATTTGTATCAACGATAATTGTTACTCATGTGGCAATCGGCTGAGTATGCTTGAGGAACCGTTACGTTTGACCGAATTTCACACATATGCGATATTTCAGTCCGTCATATCCGGGCGGACGCGCGAGAAGAAGCGGATGGCGCGGAATCTCGCTCGAATTCGCTGACGCGTATCGGAAAATTCACGAGCGACGGTTGTTCGGACTCGCAATCTCATCGAAGTCCCAAGTGTCCTCGCATTATGACCGAGTCGTATGATTCGCATAACTCATCTCATAAAGCACGCCGAGAGGATCGCGCGCATGGCATGCGCGTGCGGAGGAGGATCCGCGAGTCCGCCTTTGAAACGGTCGAACTTGAAAGGCGGAATTATATTCTAACGACGTGAGCCGTGAGAGAGAGAGAGAGAGAGAGAGAGAGAGAGAGAGAAAGAGAGAGAGAGAGAGAGAGAGAGAGAGACCACCGCTGTCAACGATGGATCCGTCCGCTGATTGAGGGAGAAAACGAGATTGTAAAGAATGAGAAACGTTTGTACGACGGCTATGATAACGTATGTATTTACACAAATCTCAATCCCTCTCTTTAAATAGAATAAGCAATTACGCGTGTATTTCTTTTTCTCTTTTAACAGGATATCACAGTTTTCCAGGAAAATATACATTATCTTAGTTAAAAACAACTTCTTCTCGGTCTTAACGATATGTATAATGCATATCCTCGTAAAGAAGAAGGAACGATTGCATCCAAAATTTTGCGACGCCTCTTATTCGCCAGAACTTCTTTCCGTTCAAATTTGTGATTGACTATCATGTGAGGGCCTCTCTCTTAATAATTAAAAAAATTTACATTGTTATACCATGAATGGTACAAATAAATGTACTAAATTTAATATCATCTTAATAATCTATCTGCATTTATGCAATTATGTAATTTACTCAAATTACATGTGTAAAGAGAGAGAGAGAGAGAGAGAGAGAGAGAGGGAGAGAGAGAGAGAAAGAGAGAGAGAGAGAGAGAGAGAGAGAAATATGTTGTATATAATTTGATATTTTAGGCTCTGGCGATATAGAGAAACGCTTGATCTGACTTTTAATTTAACGCCGTGTCCTTCATGGATTTATCGTCCCTTTTCCTGACGAAATGAACTGGAATGTTTGCGAAATGGAAATAAATTCATGAAGGACGCAACCTCAATCCGGAAGCCACACAAGTATAATGAGGAGAGTTTGAAATTTATGATATTTTGCCAGACAGGATATATGACTAATTTAGTCGTTTCGGTATCTATGATACAAACCTCCTATTGTTTGAGACAGATGTTTGTCGAATCAAATATTGCGACATGTAACAGATCAAGGAAAAGATCATTCTACTATATCAAGAGAAGCGATTGCTCAATTTTTTTCGTTCGTGACTAATGGTTATCTTCAACAAAGAATATTTTCTTGATAATAATAACTCGAAATATACTCATTACATGAATTTTAGAAAAGTCATCATATGCTCAAAGAAAAATTTCTTACGTTTATTTACGTCTTTTCTCTTTTTCATTTTCTTACATTAAAAATTTGCTCCTTAAAAATATAAAACTTATAATACTCCGTACATCAAAGCAAATATTTTAAATTTAATATTCACGTTTCAAGTTTTAATTTAACATTTATGTTCTAATTTAATACTTCTGGATGAAGTACTAAACTTACTACTAGAATTCTGAATATTGAATAAATCTGACGCATTTATGAGAGATTCGCGGATATATAAATCTATAAAATACTTGAAACATTTGTTTGAATGTGCTTGAATGTATTTATACGGATTCACGCGGCTCGTTTCAGTCAAAGCAGCCGGCGTAATCAAAATTTTTCACATATATACACGAGACAAAGGAGATTCCGATGAATCATATAACAGAACGATACGATTGTTATAACATTTTATTATCGCGATTAACGTCGGATCTCGGATAAACCGGCACGTATCCGAAGGTTTCGAGAAAACATTTGCGTAGCTGCTCATCGCCAAGCAAAAACGATTTGCGCAAAATCGTGCGATTCTCGTTCCTGTATTTTTTTCTTTTTAATAAATAGAGACTACAATCAGGATGTCGGCAGAGCACGTTACGCAATGTACGTTCAGCGCGACGCGCGGAAAAAATGGCGTAAGAAAAGAGAAAAAAGCCATCAAATCTGTTTGGATTACATCAATTATATTACCTTGTCATAATTTATCAAAAGTCGCAATATAGTTGGTTTCGTAATACTAAAAATTTCGAGGTATTGTTCGAATAAAATATCAAGGTTACCACTCACTTCCACTGCTATCGTCCAGCAAAAGCAAGGGCATCACGCGTGGCGATTGGCTTGTAATTGAGATCGGCAATT